AGGCCTGCGCTTTTGGAATCGGCTGAAAACTTCACCGTCCTCATTAAGAACAACATCAGGTTCCCTGCCTTTAACTACATCAAGTAAGGCTCCTTCATGCTTCATCTTACAGCGATTTCAAATGACAGCACAAAAAGCAAATCCAACAGACCCCTCATAGACGTTTGTTGCTTCCACAGGAGGAACATCTTGCCGCACATGAATGACACATATTTAAAGAGCTGTATGTTCAGCAGACGAATGGATCCCCTCTGCCCAATACTCCGCTTAGGAGACATAGTACAGGAAGCTAGAGAGAACTTCTCACAAATGGCTGTAGAGGTTTGTTCTTCATTCTCTTTTCTGAATCCAGAGATGCACTTAGACAACTCCAATGGTTCACCCTCAATTTAGGGAAATGACATGTTAAATCACTCATACTGCTGGTAGGAGTCATGTAGAAACTCTCTTGTGGAATAGAAATTTGAAATATGCATGTTAGTATAATTCTTCTTAGAATAATTTATAGGTGAGGGTTCTCAAAATCCATATTTTCATGCACATACATTTGCAGTTCTCATGGTGCCACTTGCCTATTACCTCTCCGTGGTGCATGTCCAGTTCCAGCAAGTTCAGATGAAAGAAATGCAAGAAACACTTGTGAGTTAAATTGGATTGATGTGCATGTAATCTAATAATACATGGAACTGGAAGAGGAAATGGAGGTAGTTATGGTACCTCTGAGAACCTCTAGGAAATGTTTTAAATGAATGGAAGTACATTCACAGAATTTCTGTTTATCACTGGAAACACCTGACCCCCTCAGGCACTTCCTGTGAGTTGTGGTAACAAGTGATGCTCATAATGATAATTGTGATAATGCTAGGTAAACATTAAATAAAGGTGGGACCATGAGTGTCTGGACAACTTGTGTGTTACAGGGGGGAGTGATAGGAATACAGATTAACTGGCACTGTAACCTGGATCGATTCTTTCACAAGTGTCTCCCAGAGTACTCCTTCCGTAGGCTGGATGAAAAAGAGAGCAACAAAACCCTGTATCCTGGGCTGAACTTCAGGTGAGGGTTTGGGCAGTTCACTTGGAAATGGGGACACTGACCTAAAGAACGAGGAGCCCATGCATTTCATTCACATTTCTACGTCAATAATGACTGCAAAATCTGAAAGCTTCTTGACTTTTCTCTGTATCAATAAGCAAAACAAATCTTTAGAAATGAAAATCCCATGTATTTGCTATATAATCCCATATAATTAATCACCTTTGCAATGAGGAACATGTCCCGTTATTACTGAAAACTCAACATCAGGTCTGACCTATTTTGAATGTGTGCTGTACATGTTTGTGTGTTTCCTAAGCAGTACAATAACACAGTAAAAGAGTGCAGGCATACTGTAAACCAACAACCAAAATGGAAATGTCAAATGTTACTTTACCTCTTTATAGAAGGTTTCTGTTGAATGCAGAGATACTTATAAAAGCCAAACTCTTTGACATCATACAGTAGGTGTCAGCATGTAGAAATCATGATCTTTCAAGATGATTATAAAAAACGAATTCACATTTCTTTCTTTAAAGGTTTGCAAGATACAACATGAATAATGGCATTGAGGAGCGCATGCTATTCAAAGCTTTTGGTATCAGATTTGATGTAATGGTTTTTGGAAAGGTAAATAACAATTTTATATACATACAGTAGACTGTACAAATATTGCATATACCCACACAAAAGCTTCAGAATGTATTAAAGCTGTAATGTCACCCCATTTCACAGGCCAGGCATACCTTTTTCATGCTCATAATGTATTAGTAGGGAAATATTATGTAAGTCCAGTATGTATTTAATTCCACTCTTTACCTCCAGCCTGATGTCATGTATGTTTACGTTAATGGATGCTCATTTATAAGTCTGCAAAAGAATCCAAATCTACTTCTCTGTCTGCAAATCTGTATGAAAACAATTTGAAAAGACCTGATGTTTCTGAAAGAGCTGTTGAAGAATGCACCATTATAACATTTTCAGTACTTCATTATTGTCATTATAATCTCATGATAATTTATTTGAAGAAGAGGGAATCTGCACTTAGCATATTATTTGATTTTTGGATATAGATCCCTGCTCATCGTCTTGTACTTTCATGCAGCACAGAGATTAATCTTTATCACAAATGTGCACACTGGGAAGCCCTTGGGGTTACCTAACATTTTGTTTTGTTTTCCATAAATCTTATGTGAGGCTGGCAGATTCAGTATAATACAGCTCGTTATATACATTGGATCAACGCTCTCCTATTATGCACTGGTGAGTATTATCCCAAATTCCAATACAACAACAGTGCTTATGTTGTTTCTGTGCTAGATAAAATCAATATGACCCTATCTTAACAGTATCAATGCTGTGCCTTTAATACAGACGACGGTATTTATCGACTGGTTCATCACAACGTATTTATACCCTCGTTGCTGTGCAAGGGCCACGAAAAATAACTATTCTGAGAAAAAATATGAGACTGTTGAAGAACTGAATCAGGTACAGTGGAGTTCTTTTTAAAATCTTTCATGTATTTAATTAAATACTCAAATGTTAATGGATGCATAAGAAAGGGTTGTCTCTGTGGTAGTGTCCTGTGATAGATGTCTTGTTGTGTCTGATTCTTGTCCACTCAAGATTCCACTGTGCATCTCATTTGTGGATGAAGACCAGATAATAGTGGTAAAAAGGCCACTGAAAAAGAGCTTACAAGAGACTAAACCTAGCTCCAGCCAGCATCGAAAGGTTAGTGCCACATGTCTTTAAAAAACTTCATTATTGGCTAAAGTGTCATTCATTTCATTCATTGCAAGCCTAGAGCTTTTAACATTGTATGCTGATGAAGCAGGGAAACAGATGTCAGAATATTATTGTGTGTGCCAAGGGTCGGGGGGAATCTACTATAACTTCTTAAGTATTTAATTGTCCCTCATCTATGAGATCCATCCTCATCATCCTCATCCAGTCTCCAGGATAGCTGCTGTGGATCAGCGCTCCTTTCTAGAGGGGAGTGATGTCTGTTGGGTTGGCTTATGTTACCACAGGTGGGTTAATCTGATTAGACAGCAGTCTTCTGCGTGGAGACCAAATGGCTTTCACCCCAGTCAGCCAGTGTCACCCATGCATCTCTCTAAGATGGTAAAAGAAAACTGATAAAATAGCAGGGGCGGATGGAGTGACCTTTAGTATCAATGTGTATCTTCAACATTTGGATTCCTTATTTAAAAAACAGAAACCTATCAGGTGTTTGGGCACGGAAGAGAGTACACATAGGAGCTGTGTTCTTCATGTTGTGGAACATTATCTTTATAATTAAAAAGAAATCTAAGCAAGCACCCTTTTTCAAACCTTTTCTTGAATGCACCTGAGGATGTTGTTTCTCTGCAGCCAGAGCACAGCTTTGGAAGAACACGGGTGTTGGTGAATTTGCTGCAGAGCCCCAGCCGCAATGCTGACACCGAGATACAAGAGATGCAGCCACCCAAGGGCAGGGGGAGAAGCGCCCCAGCCTGGTGCCAGTGTGGGCGCTGTCAGCCCATGCCCACCCCGCAGGAGCAGCTGTGCTGTCGGCGGAGCAAGGGCCAGTGCATCACCACCTCACCAGCGTTCCCCAGGCTTGTCCTCGACAGACACACTCTGGAGTCAGCGCTGCTGTACAGAGAGCCCCTGCTGGAGCTCCCCCAGGCCCGCTGCCATGGCCATCTGAGACACTGCGCCTACAGCCTCTACATCGAGTGGCGTTTCGGAAGAATACAGACAGGGACCTTCGCGGCTGTCCCAAGCTGCAGTGTGTGGAGGATCAGGGACGAATACCCCAGTGAGGATGGGCGCTACAGTGGACTGTGTTATGAGAATATGGTAATTATCTCTTCAAATGGCACTTAATGAAAGGTGATGCCAAGTTTATCCGGTGCCTTTGCATGTAAGGTAATGTGACGCAGAACTATGAAAGCAGAAATAATTTGGGCGGCATTTACATATGTAGTCTTATGGTCGCTGGTGGAGGGCACCAGGGATTGGCTCTGGGACAAGAATTACAATGTGATGAAGAGCAGAAAATAATCTTCCCTAGACTCTGCATATTGGACGTCATTTTGACTGTTTTATGCAAAATAATTTACTATACAGGCTTTGCATTATATGCCTTTCGTGTTGACTATGTTTAGGTTTCAATGCCTGCTTCTTGATTTTATTTCCCTTTTGCCTTGCCTTGTTGAGTTCAGCTTGGATCGGTACCAATAGTTACAATTTGCCAATAATTAAATTTAGCACTCTTCTAATAACTAGCATATTACAGTATGTCTGGATTTACACGATTGTGCTTAACGAAATGTCACACTGTGTTCTGTTTTGTGTTACTTTTGTCTGTTTTGTACAGGTGTTTTTGTAATACCTTGATTCAGAACAGTAAAGGAACTACAGGTGTTCTAGTGCTGTTTTGTAGAGGAGATTATCCATTTGTCCATTCATCCATTACCAGAAAACCACTTATTCATGGTTACCATTAAGCACAATATTTCTGTTTTATAGCATTTACTGTATATACAGTAAATAACTTTGTACAATTTTCTATTATTTTTAGATGAATGTGTTTATTTAGAAATAAATGCACTAAACTTGTGTTCCTGTTTTTGTTGCAGTGAGTCAGACATGCATACAAAATATACCAAAACAGCATTTTTTTCATCTCCAAGACAAGGCTATTTGGCTAGATCACTATTAGAGAAAGTTCCTTTCTGCTACTTTTTTTATAAGCAGTATCCAAATTAAATTCAGTATAATCTCTATAACATTTAAGTCTTCAAACTGTATTGTTTTCTATTGTTTTAAATTTCAAAGTCTTATTCAAATTCCTATCCAGAAGGACAAAAGTAAATGTATTAATAATATTTCCATGTCTGCTTTCTACAGTTCTAGTCTGTAGTGATTAGTTTAGTGATGAATTTTTAGGCTTGTTTAGTACTGTAAACCTAGTTTCTTTCAACACATTAAAAATATGGAGCTGTTGTGGGATCTGTTGATATAGCCTCAGTGGTTGTATAAATCTTTAATGATGTTACATTATTTCCTGTTCAGACTGCCCCTACAGATTTAGTGATTTGAGATTTGGCCTTGGTAACACAATCAGCCTTGCACCACACCACAGAAGACCTGGTCACAGGCACCTCATCACAGGCATCTCAGAGATACTGTATTTGGAAGGCTTTCTCATCCAAGTGCTTTGAATTGATTCCTGCAACAACACGTTGCACCTCTGCTCAATATATCACTAAACGGCTCGTTTACAATGTAATATGAATTATTATTCCATTCCATTCCTATAAAAGAATGTTATTATTATTTGGGACTGATGAGACATAGTCGTAAAGTGTAATAACGATTTGGTATGAAACGCAAGCGTCAATTCTGTCATATAATTAGGTAAAAGTCATAAATAGTCATTGATTTGGCTGACACCTTTATCCAAAGAGACATTTACGTTTTGCAATAAGAAAACGTGTAACTACAAATTGCGGTTGCATTGCAAATATGATTTTTAAATCATCCTATTACGTAAGACGCGATACGGGAAGAAAATTGGCTAAATTAGAGAAGTGTAAGACGGAGCCCTAGTCTGAGGTGGAATGTGTTAACTGCAGTAAGACAATCAGACTGTAGAAGCGAGAGCAGGGAGTAAATCACAGGAGCTGCAACCTCAGAAAAATGTTCACCCCGCCTCGTCACAAGACATAGGAAGACCCGCTCTCAGGTGACTCCCGCAAGTGCACAACAAGTAGACCCAGGAGCGGTCGTTACAAATTCACGGCAGAGCCGAAGGTTTCCGGATCATCAGTTAATGTGTGACGAGTCTCATGACTTGTGGGAGAGGATACAGCAGACGCCGACTTTTTATTTTTTAAAAAGAAGAAGCCATCCCGTTCTTTATCACACTTGGCACCGTGTACCATCGCGGGTACAAAAGACATGCCGGCGTCGAGCAGTTGTTTCTCCATGACTCAGTGTTTCTTTGAATACGAGACACAGAGAATAGTGGTGATCAGGAGTAGGAAAGTCTCATTAATAAACAGACTCATTCAGCTGGCCATACTTTCTTATGTGATTGGGTAAGTTCAAACATCCTTGCCATAATTCAATATGTTCTCGGTCCCTCATTTAACAATAGTGGTTAACAGTAGCGACTTAACAATCTAGGCGCTTGCTAACTATTTGAGTGGTAAAGCAAAACGGTGCAAAGAGTATTTTAAAACAAACTTTATTACCTGTATGTGAACTCCGGAATGAGCCCGAGCTTTCGTTTTCAGTTTTGTTGGGTGCGAGCTTTAAAACCTCTTGCTAAAAACAGCTACCAAACAAATCAATGAGTCGTTTGAGTGGTTTGTTATACCTCCGATGAAACAGGTGGACGCTGAGAACCATTGTTTCTCATCGTCAGGACTTTTAAAGAAATAAAATGTCGGGATTTTTTTGTAACATTGCGTAACTCAATACGGGAGTGGGACACATCGCTCTTGAAGGGGGGAGTAAAGGGTATTTTGTGTTTTGCAGAAACCTCAATTATGAGAGGAAGAGTTGGCTTCAACGCCTACATCCTCATTTTTAAACTCGTTCAAAAGTATGAGCGCAACATTGGGGGAAAAAAAAAACTTTAGTAATGAGAGCAATTTAAATCAAAGTGCAACCTGTCTTCTGAGAGAGATGGTGTTCTATGACATATATCCTGCTAAATACACGAGTCAGATGATTTTGCTGTATTGACAAAAAATGTCTAATTAAACAATGATGTTTACAAATACAGTATTAGTTGGTGTCCAATATGGAAAATTGTGTCTTTTTTATCAATGTTTTATAACAGTGGCATAATATTATATAATATTATATTAATTTGGGTCTTTGTAATCTCTAAGTAGATAACTTATTTCTTTTTCTAATTACCAGCAGCCAGAGGTACCCTCAGGTACCTGGGTGCCCAAACACAGCTAGGCAGAGGTTTAAATAAATAGAAATGACAGACGGAATCACAGCATAACAGATTTAAAATATAATATCACAAACAATTCACTGATACAAGCTACCATGGAAAATACAATAAGTTTTGCAACGTGCTAAAATATAAATTATGTTGATTCTGTCTATAACTACATCAAAACACAATTTGGAAAAGATTAAGCACTTAAGTTTTGTACCTGCACTACAAGAATGACTACAATCTTAGTAGTTCTGCTAATACTGCTGATGCTTCTGCTTAAGGTACTGTAGCAGTGGTATTAGCAGAAATACTAAGAATATGATTACTACAGCAGCAGTATTAGCAGATATTTGTTAATATAGGTTTTCAGTGCCATCTTTCAAACTTCTCGGCCAGTGTGTGAATTTTATAACGAACGTGATGATGAAGAAGGAGGTAGCAGACTTAGTTGGCTTACTTGCTTTAAACCGATTAACCATAAACTGTATATAAACGAAGCCAATGGCCCATCTGAACACCTTCCAGATGTTCCACCTAAACTGCTTTCTAGAGCAGCAAAAGCGTTGCTTCTGGGAAAAGACTAAGGGTTTCCCTGGCTTGTTTGTTACCTCTCTCCTTGATATCCGCAGGAGAGCGTTCCCTCACACAGTGGGAAGCACAAGAAGACCTCTGTACCCTCTCTCCTCAGGTGGGTGTTTGTCTGGAAGAAGGGCTATCAGGAGTTTGACTCCATCATCAGCTCGGTGACCACCAAGGTGAAAGGCATCGCCCTGACCAATGCCAGCCACCAGGGACTCAGGGTCTGGGATGTGGCCGATTACGTCATCCCCCCTCAGGTACCTGGGCGCCCAAGCACAGCGAGGCACCACTCCTCCAAGACTCGGACGGGGTTGCTTTCCTCCTCGCGTGCTGGAATGGGGATTCCAGGCTTCCAGTTAGATCCTAATGAAAGCAGGAGAGGGTCGGAACGCGTGGAGAGTAGTTGGTGTGACTCCCCCAGCAGTGAGGGTGAGGCTGCCCATGCTCCCTGGCTCGTGGGGAGGGCTGCAGGGGTGAGATAGGGTGGTGGGAGGGATGCGAGAGAGAGAGATGTGAAGAAAGTCCTGGATGTGAGGCTTAGATATGCAGGCGAGCAGAAGCATGGGAGATTAGGGTCTAAACATCCTCCCGACCTCTTGCTGTGTAGTCCATTAACCAGCTCTGAGTTCTAACACATTTGTAAAAAATGCAGCAGCAAAAAGAGTAAAACAAAAAACCTCTAAACTTGCATTTGTTTGCTCTCTCTTTGGTTTTAGGAAGAGACGTCCTTTTTTGTGATGACGAACCTGATTATTACTCCAAACCAAACCCAGGGGCTTTGT